GTGTGTTTCATTTATGAAATCATTGAACTGCTGCAGAGAAAACAATTTTTTATTTCTGAATGCAACAAAAACATTTTGAACTCAGCCTTCCATCCTTCCGAGGTGGGTGAAATGAGGACCCAGACTGTGGGGGCGATATGCTGACTCTGTAAACCGCTTAGAGAGGGCTGAAAGCCCTATGAAGCGGTATATAAGTCTAACTGCTATTGCTATTGCTATTGAACTCCCCCCCACACACAAAAAGGTGAGTCAAAATATCATACATTGGCAGTTGTGACGCATATTTTGAGTAACAGGGAGCTGCAGCAGAGGGATGAAAGAGCCCCATGTGCCTCCAGAGTTTCGGGTTGAAGACTCCTGAACTAGCCTTTCCGAATCTGGTCTTCTTTTGATGGTTTATGCATAAATCATCTGCAGGGCCACTTTTCCCTATGAAATCTACCAGGTGAGATGGGGCAGGCATGCTCCTAATCGCTTCCCCTAAACATTGCCATGTGATGGCAGCTAGGAAGTGGGCCTTTTCCAATACAGCCCCCCACCCTTTGGAATATTCTGCCCCCTGAGGTTAGGCAGACCTGTACCCTCCTAGCTTTCCATCAAGCTTTGAAGATTTGGCTTCCCCTTCCACACATCAGGATAAGATTAGATAACTGAACTAAATTAGAAGTCTGACTCGGCGCCAGGTTTCTGTGGTTTTTAACGTTTTTAGTTTTATAGTTTCAGTATAGTTTTCTATGCTGTTTTAACTTTTAATTGGGAGTCACCCAGAGTTGATTAGAAAATAAACAGCTATGTACATTTTTTAAATAAATAAATCTACTGGGATTGTTAAACCAGCAGTCCCTGGAAACTCAAGAACATATAAACAAGGACAGGGCTTTGATCATCTGGTCACACATCCCACTTTAATATCATTGCAATCCTTCCTGGATCATATTGGGATATTGCAGTCCCAAAACATCTGGAACTTATCCATTTGGAAATAGTTAAATGCATTTCCATAATTGTTGTTTGAAATTAAGGTATGATCTATCCTAGAAATGTTAATTACAAATTGGTGCAGCGTGTCTCTCATGAAAACTGCGCACTCGTAACAGAATAAGCTCAAAGGGTCCTTGGAGGTCTTCTAGTCCAACCCCCTGCTCAAGCAGAAGACCCTATATCATTATTTTCTTTTAAACCTCCAGTTATGGAACACCCACTTACTGATTTTCACATGGATAACCCCAGATAATCCAAGAAATGTAAGGGATTTCTACAGTCAATTATGAAAATAATTAATCTCACTAAAGGGCAGTGCTTAATCATACAAATGTTTTAGGAAATGTTTTACAAATATATCTGTTCCTCTTAAATTTGTCTAATCCCCCTTAAAGCCATCTTAGCTTATAGCCTTCAACATACCTTCTGGTGATTAACTCAATGTAAGATACTAATTGGTTGATGCAGGAAGAATGGTATGTCCCATGTGAGGTTTTTTTCTTATAATTAAAACTGAATTTCTCAGTAATTACAGTTTTAATAACTCTTGGAAGTCCTCCTACAATCAGTTCCTTTCTCTACCTTATCAAGGAGAGTTACAACTATAGCAAATGTTGGCTGGGGAATTCTGGGAGTTGAAGTCCGGACATCTTCAAGTTGCCAAGGTTGAGAAACACTGCACTAGATAATTTTGAAATGAAAAATTAATGTTACCAGAATGATTATGGGCATAACGCTGAAACAGGAATGATCATAGCTAGATATATTGATTTTTTTTTAAAAAGGAAAAGTTTCAGCACTATGAAGAGAACAAATTGAGCTTTGTGACAATATTTTTCTTACTTTTTTTTCAGGTCAAAGAGGAAATGAAACTTCTTACCAAGGAAAAGGGTGTCAATTCATTTAAGATGTTTATGGCATATAAAGATGTCTATATGATTGGAGATAAAGAATTGCACACCCTCTTCAGTCAATGTAAACAAATTGGTGCAATTGCTCAAGTTCATGCAGAGAATGGGGATTTGATTGCAGAGGTAATTCCCATGTTTAAGATGATCTCTTCAGTCACTTGCAATTATAATATGCAGTATACATGACATACGGGGTTGAATTGTGAGCTCCTTGGTGCTCTCTGAGCTTGGTTGTTTTCTTGCAGACAGTTGGGTAATGCACATTGGTGAAATACATTGATGATGTTACCTAGTTTGGTAATGAATTTTCTGCAAGAAAACAACCATGCTCAGAGAGCACCTAGGACACCAAAGGAGCATCTGGGGAATTGTGTGTGTTAAAAAGTCTCCAAGTACATGATTGAAGCTCCACAAGCTGCTTGATAAGGCATTGATCTCACTTTCAGTCTTGCCCTGCAACTCGGAGTGATGACCAAGGCAGTCAGAGAAGGTACATCCTGGTCATTTTTGTCTTGGAGATGGGACGTCCATCAAAGCAAAGCATCCAAGATGTCCACAGTCCTAAAAGTAGCCTCTCATGTGTGTGTGTGTGTGTGTGTGTGTGTGTGTTGCATTTGTGCTGATAAATAAATAAAGGGAGGCTAGTATAGATCTATTTATTTCAAGCTATTTAGCTCTCATCACCTAGCCATACCCTTACTGGGATTCAAACCTGGGCTGTATTACATATTAGGCAGTAGTATTAGCCACTAAGCCGCAGGCTCTTCTCCTTTATTTATTTATCAGCACAAATGCAACACACACACACACACACACACACACACACACGCTACTTTTAGGACTGTGGACATCTTGGATGCTTTGCTTTGATGGACGTCCCATCTCCAAGACAAAAATGACCAGGATGTACCTTCTCTGACTGCCTTGGTCATCACTCCGAGTTGCAGGGCAAGACTGAAAGTGAGATCAATGCCTTATCAAGCA